AAGAAAAAAAGATAAGTAAACGGCCTTTCTTTGTTAATGTCAATAACCAATATGCTTATCGCCAAATTCTTACTTGTCACTAGCTTCACGGCAGATGCCATTAGTAGAGCAGAAACCGCATACCCTTTAGGTGAACTGTGATAAATTAACCTGAAAGTTAAATATCAAAACAATAAGTTCATTTTTTACTGGTACATCATTCCATTGATATTTATTGTTATACATGTCGAGGTTTTATTTCTTGTGATTTTAATGATTATCAACATTGTTCAAACTATTAAGTTTTCAATATGGTGCAAAGAATTCGAGATTTGTATGGCCCTGCAACAAAGTTGTCGGGGCCATATAGTTTTACCCTTGTCCGTCATTCCGTCATTCTGTCATTCCGTCATTCCGTCATTCCGCCATTCCGCAACAAGCCATTATACGCAATTTTTTTCTAAACGCCTACAGATATTGGGCTGATTTTTGATATGCGAGTTAACCATGATGTGTTATAGATCAAGTTTAAGTTTCGTTTCGCTCTGATAATTTTTGCCGAAATTACGGGCTTTGAACTTTGATAAATTGTTGAAAATCACAGTTATACGGATTTTTTTTCTTAACGCCTTCAGATTTTGGGCTGATTTTTGGTATGTGAGTTAACCATGATGAGTTACAGATCAAGTTTAAGTTTCGTTTTGCTCTGCTAATTTTTGCCGAAATTATGGGCTTTGAACTTTGATAAATTGTTGAAAATCACAGTTATACGGATTTTTTTCTAAACACCTTCAGATATTGGGCTGATTTTTTGGTATGTGAGTTAACCATGATGAGTTACAGATCAAGTTTAAGTTTCGTTCCGCTTTACTAATTTTTGCCAAAATTGAGGACTTTGGACTTTGATAGATAGTTTGAAATTTAACTACTCATTGATCAAGGAAATTTTTCATCAGACTAGTATTGGTCTTGAGAGCTGGATACTATCCATGCATGTTTGTGTCCACATGTGTTGTTGAAAGTGCAGATTTTAAAACTTTTTGAGACGGGGCCATTCGTGTCGTTCCGACACATCTAGTTAGGAACTATATTCTTAAATGACAAATTTCTAAAAATTCTAAGATTTTGTGTCCTATTCCCTATCATGACATTTTAAATCGGTTGATGCATGTAAAAAAGAGGACGCTTACCCTGGCGATTTTGCAATTCCCACACGTTTTGATTCTGTTAACCATCGGTTATTTACTGCTCCCTTATCTAACGTATATGTATCATTAAAACATGCCTTGGATTATTTGTGCTGTTCTAATGAATATTCAAAATTAAATAAAAAGGTTTGGTTGGGAACTCTTTAAAAATATATTCGGGAATTTAGCTTTATAAGTAACCTAATATTTTGTTACAATTCTAACGTGGCTTTAAATGCTTTGATTACCCACAAAGTGTTTTAAAAGAAAAAAATATATTATGGAGTGACTTAGTTTTGTTTGAAACTCTTTTCAATTTTCGTTTAGATATAACTTTGGCATTGGATTTTTTTTGGCTTTTGGCATTGGAGTCTTTGTAGACGATACGCGCGTCTGGCTTACAAAATTTTAATCCTGGTATCTATGATGAGTTTATTTACAACCACTGGGTCGATGCCACTGCTGGTGGAGTTTTTCTCCCCCCAGGGTATCACCAGCCCAGTAGTCAGCACTTCTGTGTTGACATGAATTATCATTGATATGGTCATAATTATAAATTAACTGTTTACAAAACTTAGAATTTTTCGAAATACTAAGGACTTTTTACCCAAGGAATAGAGTACCTTAGCTGTATTAGGCAAAACTTTTAGGAATTTTTCGTCCTCAACGCTCTTCAACTTAGTACTTTATTTGGCCTTTTTATCTTCTTTGATTCGAACGTCACTGATGAAGTTTTTTTTGTAGACGAAACGCGCGTCTGGCTTTCAAAATTTTAATCCTTGTATCTGTGAAGAGTTTATTTATTGTCTGATTGGAATAAAATATACCGGGAGATTGTAATTTATCCTTTATGGTACCCATGATTCATATGAGAGTATGCATTTGCTGATTGAATATCATACTTAAAACGTTTTTCTTCACTTTTGAAAATATCTGTCTTAGGTTTAAAATTTCGAAATGGTCTACTTTCTCCTAATACATTCCAACCACATAGATGTTTACGTGTATATAACCACCTACCGAAATTCAATCTGTGGTACAATATTTGCACAATCTACCTTTAAAGACAAAACACGTTGCTATACCCTCCTTTAAAATATTAGATCAGCATTTGCAAGGATATATTCAAACTTCAGAAGTTAAGCTCAATATTCTGTTAGAACAGATTTTTTCGTTTTCATAATAAAAGGTTGATCGAATATAAAAAGTTAGTTTAAATTCATCGTAAGTTTACAAATATTCAAATCAGTTGATATAAAATTGTAAACACCCGTCAACGACTTGAGTTTGATGTATCATTATCCATATTCGTCAGTAGTATTCAAGTCGCGATACAAATCGTCTGTTTTTGTATTATTTTGTTGGTTTTGTTTGCGAATTTTCTTTTGATAACTAGGAAATGTGTTCTGAGGAACCAGTTTCATTATCAAATCGATGTAGGTAAATGCAAATGTTATGAATCCATGCAGTAAAGTTCAGCAAACGTGTTTTCTGTGAAAATAGCGTAAGTTGATATTTGTCCATCTTTATTTAATTTTGATTTGTGAAGTTCATGAGACCCCCCCAAAAAAATACAAAACAAACAAAACAGGGCAAACCAATTGTAAATGCAATGAAAATTAGCAGATCAGATGTGTTTTTACAGTGACAGGATGAAAGTTTCAAGTATAGTATTACTTGTTATTTCTTTTTGGGAAGTTTCGTTTGCAAATATTTGTATTTACTTTTCAATGAACTGCTATAACCTTCATTGTACTGTTCTTCTTCAAATTGTCCCTCCCATGTATTTTTTTGTGGCCATATCGTTATAATCTAATGCTAGTTCCAATCTATCTACTGTGCCTTTTTAGTTCTGCTATTCTTGATTTGGTCACACAATATAACATTCGACGTCTTGCGTCTATTTCTGACCATGATTTTTTCTATTTCATTTCAAAATCCCTTTGCCAACCTTACATTGTCTTATAAGACACAGTGAGGAATAATAGATCAAATCGCCTCCTTGAAAAATTTCTTATTGCATCGTCTTCCTCCTCTTGCAGACATTGCAAGCCTATATTGGCAGTTATGATTATTTTATTGAGTAAGCTCTTCTTGGGTATATTTCGTATTTGTTCTGTAGTCTGTAGATAGTTACATAGATCTTGTTGACTATTGCAATTCAATACCAAAGAAACAATGATTCAGACAAACCATTTGTAACATAGTTTCAGTACTCATTTTGCTCTGCTAATGCATATGATATAGCAACTCTTAGGTATCATATACAATTTGTGTAACATGAGTATTTGATGAATGTGGTCATCTTTCTCTACTATCGCATAAGATATGTCAACTATTGCATCATGTAAAATGTGTGTAACATGAGTATTTGATGAATGTGGTAAATAAACTCATTATAATATGAGATTCTTCAGTTCGTCAAACAATTCGTTAGATATCATATTTTTGGAATGACCAAGTGCCTGCAGTACGATTTCAGTGCATAAAGAAACAGTATACGTATCGGCTTTTTCTTTTCCTTTTTCTACATCACTCTCAAATAAGTCTCTTCCTTTGTAAATATGAGACTTTATATTGAAGTATTCTTTATAAATGTCATTGTAAGCGTGTAACTTGAAATTCATTAACAAGTTTTTCGAATGTTTTCGCCTCGGCTTTTTTCGTTGTAGTGAATTTCTTCTTGTATTTTGTAGCATTTTTTGATGAAATGATAGCTGTCGGAATAGTTCTACATATCCAAATTAAGACAAACAAGATTAGTTGAAAAGTGGTTTGTCTCAAGAAAAAGAAAAAATAGTCAAAATTAAAGGTCTTTCATAGGCTTTGTGAATTTTTGTTAGAATGCAATCTTCTGACAGGAACTAATATATTGCAATTTACAAAAATAGTGACGTATAGTTAAAGGACCAATTGATGCAAAATGTGTCTTGTATGATTGAAGAAGGCAAGTCTCAGATTAATCCATTTTTTAGTTTTATAATAATTGCTCGTAAAGTGTTTTTATTTATCATCAAATTTTGAACTATTTAACGCACTAACAACAAAAATTAGAATTATTTTACAGTATTGTATAAAACGATATTTTGATGGATAGCTAAGTATACTATTATAGTATACCATCAATGTTATAGAAAAATAGGAAAAGGGTACCCAGGGGCAATTAAAAACTACAAATCGAAGAAAAAACCCAGACAATACCATCCCAAAAAGAAACTGGATTTATGAAATGACTGATAATAAAGAGCTATAACATTGAATGTAAAAATTACACATGTCTTAAAGTTATAGCTATAGTTATAGTTATAACTAAAAACAAAAACAAAAACAGTCGACAAAACGCTACACAGAAAACTAAAGACTGAGAAGCACAACCTCAGCCAAACAACTTCGGGTGTTTCGAATGGATCAACTGTTTCTTATCCACTAGTTACATCCGTTGTGTTTCTCCTGTTAGAATTGGTTGATGAAACATATTCGCAAGAAGGGGCCACACAATTGCCTATGGGTAAGAGCTCTTGTCTAACTCAAAGACATTACGAAATATCTATAAAAAATCGGTATATTATGTAAATTATCTTACCCTAGTACATGACCTAAAATATAATGTTTGAAATAAAAGCAATATTTCTAGACACAGTAAGGACCATTGGTGTCTCGGGGGACAATATACGTGTTAATGTCCTCATAGCCAGTAAAAAAGTGTATATAAACCTATTGAACTGGCGAGTAATATCTAACTACAACTGTAAGAACACCTATCGAAAATGTGTATACATTAGAAAAACAGATATCCTGGAAATATAGAAAATAAATAATGGATATATTTTTGACGTTTTTTCTTGATTTTATTGCTTTTCTACATTTTTGTCCACATTACTTGTTTCACATACGTGTCATTTACTTTGAATTGACATAAACTCTGACGTTGTTTCTCTGCATGAAAGCTTTCCGTTCGTTTTTGACATTTTTCATCAGTTTCATAACTACTTTTTACAAATGTTCCTTCGCAATACATAATATCATTTTTGGGAAATGAATCGTTTTCTAAGTCATCATTCATTGTAGAGGCGTCATCTTCGTTTTCAACTGGTGTCCTATTTCTTGAATATTTAAAATGGATTTCATAATCGTTGAGCGGTTTTTGAAATAGTGAAAACTTTCCTGTCAAAGAATTCGAATAATTTTTGATATAGGTAACTTCCCCGAAATCTCCTCTTATTCCAATGTCTATTGCTAAGCTTATATATTCTATTGCTAGATCTAGGTCGTCTTCTATCTCGGCAATTCTAGCCTTACCGACGTAATAAAACATTAAACGTCTAATCTCAAATCCATCCCATAATTTGTCCAGTTCCACCATTAAATCTTTTGCTTTTCGAACGTTCTTTGAGGACACTCTTCTTCCTGGAATTATATCACCTCTATTACTGAGCCCTAATAAACAAAACGCTACTCTTGAATAAATTCTTCGTTTCCAGAAGGAAATGATCAGTTCATCGGTCTCTTCTTGTAAGCATCCTGCGCAATACTCTGCAATATTTAGAATTTTATCCACTAATCCTTCGATTGGACATTTTTCATATACTTCTATTAAATTAAATATGTAAATATACAGCATTTCTACGAGTTCAACACAATATCCAATATAAATTGAGGCTGCCATTGCATTTCTCAAGTTATCCTCACTAATGCCCTCTTCATCCGCCTGTGCATACGCAAGGGCTAGTCGCGTATCGTGTGCAACTTGTGTCACGTGTGTATTGCTCGTATGTGGGATGATGTTTTTCAATTCTTCAAACAAACCGTGAGTTGGAAATTGTCTTACATAAAGAATACCATATGAGTCAATCTCAGCACAAAGCGAAGCAGCATAATGATCAGCTTTCACAATTTTCTTTGTATAGTTTTTCTCAGAAAGAAATGCACTCTTATATAATTTAGTTTTTTCTTTGAGGCATTTTCTTGGATTGTCGAACTGAATGTTATGTGTTAAAATTTTTAATTGCATTAGTAAGTTTTGTGACGATCGCCGACTAGACATCAAAACTTTTGTTCTCTGAATGCATAATTCTTCTGGTGATGACAGTTTACACTGCAAGGCAATGTTAATAAATAGTTCAATATATCCACATTCAAGCAGAATCTCTAATACATAATTCAATGAACATGTCTCTTCAATGATTGGCAGCAAATAATCCCATACATGCTGTCTACTAACAGAACGTCGGAACAACGAAAATATAAATGTTTTTTGACAGTCACTTAGACGTCTAAGCTTTGATAACTTTTGTGTTATCACGATTGGATCTACTTGCTCGTAAAAGATTGGCTTAAATAGCTGAAGTGTACTGTTCATTGCTGAAAATGTAATAAGTATAAAAAGAGTTAAACCTTTTAAAAATAATAAAATATGGGCTTGTACTTAGGCATTGTGATTCCAGTTGTGCTAATGACTTATTTTTTTTTCATATGACTTTGTTTTTTTAAAATGGAAATAGGATAGAATATTATATCCCCTTTGCACACCCTAGTATTTTATATATTCAGCTGTCATAGCGTTGAACTCCTTTCAAGTTTTCAGTTTCTGTGGATTCAGTTGCCAGTTGTAGTGTTATAGTATACTTGAATATATTTATAAATATCCATATTAGTACAGTTTCAATATATTTAGAAATGTCATATATATCAGATGATTTGTCATCTATATCGTATTTACTTTAATTTGTTATTTACAATCCAAATAACAGTTAATCCTGGTACCTTTCGATGTAAGATTTCTTGACGTAATCAGTAGTACAACATTCCGTTGTTTACCTTTCAAGCGTAACAAGGACCAATTTACTTTGAACACGCCTTAATTCGAGATAAACTATATCCTACTTGTCTCCTATATAATATGAAATTGAATAGATAACAAGAAACATCCTCGTTCATGATATCCATGGTAGGTGATATATACAATAACGAAATGCTTATTTCTCGGTATTTGTTGAAGTCTTTCTCGTTTATAGATATATTCATGGAACGTATAATTTCTATGATTGTCTGTTAATAGTAATGAAAAATTATTTAAAACTTTTGAAATTTAAATTTTGTATCCGATAATGAATCCATTATATCGGTCAGTACACTATATTACTGTTTCATATAAGTCGTTGAAAACAAGAAATTCGTCTTGCTCAGATTAATGTCCTTTTATGGTCTTCCCCCTTTTTGAATTAACCTTGGAGTTCGGTATTTTTGTTATTCTTTTTTGACTACATGAATTTAAGATTAAGAAATCAACTCAAATTACATTAAGCTTGATGTCAGGGATTCGATTTTTAATTTTTATTATTTCAAATGCATATCAACGGTCTTTTCTGTGGTTTTTTTGTGCCAATTTGTAGAATCCTAATATTTATGTCCCATGTTGTACCTGATATTACAAAAAGGAATTTGAAAAGAAAAAAACAAAAGACATTAATTCACAAACGAAGAATTGAAGGAAACATATGAGCTGCATCGGATAGAAATCGACGTTATGCAAGTGCTCGTATACATGTAAATGCATAAGACTTTGATTGATTTTGGAACATTCAAATACGCAATAAAAAATGAATTTTGGTCTGTTTTGTAGGGTTCTTATAACAACTCATTTTTCAAACAGTTACAGACTTTCCGGAGAGATTTTTTCAACCGAAATAGGTTAACAGATGTATTGATATTCATTTGCATAAGGTCGATTTCTTTCCCACGCAGCTTACTTATATTGTTTATATCAAAGATACTTAAAAATCTTTCGAAATAAATCTTCATTCTAATAAAAAAATTAGCGGCGTCACGGCAGCGTGCTCTTTTATCAATTCTGTGGTACGCTGTTAGTTTCTATCCTAGGCCGAGACAAAAGACTTTTCAATTTCAATTAGCATGTCAGCTCGTAGTCAGAATTAAGTGTCTAAGAGGGGTGACATGTCCTCCTCTGGAATATTACCGTGCACGATAGCACGTTAAACGCCGAGCGTAGTATCGCATATGCTACCAATTAGGCTTCATTAAGTTCACCAATGTTTGTCCTGAATATGGTTTAAATAACTATTATTCAATATCATATAAACATTTGTTTGAGATTTGGATTTTCAGATATTTTGGCCCCGAGCATCACTGACATTACTTGTCGAAATTCGAATTTGGTGCAGCAAAGTTGATACCGTTTATGTTATTTTTAACACATTCACATCCATCCTTTCCTTCTTGATATTTTACAACTTTATCTTACCAGAAGATAGCTATAAGTAAGAAAATATATTACCATCGCTCAGTGTTACAATTCCTTACAGTGTCTATGTTTAACACACGTTCATGGAAAAACGTTAATTCGTTCTGTTTCAGCTTATATACATGTTATCACATGATTGACATGCCGAAATCACTTTGGCTTTGTGCCAGACAGAGAACGGATTAAATCCGAAAAAAAACCTTGTAGGAAATAGTACTTGATCCATTGACAAAAATAGACTTCCTTGACATGTGACGGATGACGTATATAAGATTATTTTCGGAAATGAATATCTTACTAGTTAAACTTCGAATATCAAAAGCGTAAAGTGTTGCTATGTGTGCTAGAAATGTAATTCGTTATTTCATAACATCTTCAAATCAATTTAAATCATGCTGTATATGACTTTAAAAATATGAGAAACTGATAATTTTCCATATTCTCTACTTTCTTTGTATTTCTTAAATGCAGTTTAAAACGAAAGGAAATGCAGGGAAACAAGTTTAATACAAGTAATTCAGAACAGAAACGAAGCAAAACTATTTGACAGAAATTTGCTTCTACCTTTCAATAATTTTTAAAATAATGGAATTATATGAGTGAATTTTTCAAATTAATTTGATCAATGTTAGCTCCATTTGTATTCAACATTGATATGCCTTCGCGTATCTTATCGTTGTTATTATACTTTGTTCTACTTACTTTAAGAGTACAGAAAATGAAAAGTACATATTGAGCAAGCAACACGAAGTCCACTAATAAGTGTAAATGAAAGTGATACGAGGGTGAGGCTCGGTATTTTTTTCAATTTTTGTGCAATAAATGATAATGTTCATTGGTAAAATAAAAAAAAAATGGAATATTGCGCGACATGGATTTTCGGAAGCGGTTCACAAACTATTCGTTGGAAGTATACTAATTAATACTTTAGTCTGGGATAATGATTTATTTATTAGTTGTATTTGGTTTTGAAGTAGCTTTAAGTAACTACAAGTACTCTTAGATAGGTACTTTATGTTAGTTATTTTTGTGCTTCGAGTCAGTCTGATGAGTCAATCCATTTCGAACTGGTTTTTTTTAGTTTGTTTTTAAGTTGTGTTGTTATTCCTCTGTCCCAGGATAGGAGGTGGGGGATTAATTGCACTCAAGCATGTTTAACCCCGTCACATTCTTTATGTGCCTGTAATTCAGTGGTACAATGCAGTCATTGATAGCTGTCTGTCATATTTGAATGTCGTTTTATATTTGTTTTACGTTGATTGCGTTGTTCTATATCAGACTTTTGATTTTTTTTGTTTGAAATGTTCACATTTTGTCATGTCGGGGCCTTTGATAGCTAACTATACGGTATGGGTTTTGCTCATTGTTGAAGGCCGTTGACCTATAGTTAATAAAATTTACGTCATTTGGACTGTTTTCTCATTGGCAATCATACCACGTCTCCTTATTTTATAACAATAATCTACTATAAAGCTTTTGAAGTACAACTTTAACTTTACTTACCGTATCCTTTGGTATATTTAGTATTTCTTCCCTTTACCAACCCTTTATGCACAAATTTTAGATAGGGAGTACATCTCTTCATAAAGAGCTGCGCCATGTGCACATGATACGCCCGTCGCTTTTTCAACGAATAAAGTTCCATTACTCCTCAATGTCGTATTAGAAATTTATAAAAAAAACTAAAGGAAGCTTATTTAAATAGATATAAACCAGTCACAGTTTTTCATGAAAACTGCTCAAAACATTTTTAAGTTATTGTCCGAAAACTGGAAAATCCCCCCTCTTTTTATGAATAAAATCCCACAACTCGGAAAGGTAAAATCTAAAATGTATAAAAATCGAAAGGGAGCTTACGTCAATAGATATAAACAATTCACCAAAGTTTCAGGAAAATTGTTCAAAGCGTTTTTGAGTTATTGTCCGACATGTTGACGACGGACGGACAACGGTAAACGGGCGTATAAAAAAAAAATTCAAACACCTTTATAATGCTGATTAATGCCAATAATGGTATTATTACATATCTATTTGAAGCCAAACAGTCCAGATACACAGGATGCAAGGTATCATATAAGCTAATAATTCTATATTCCGGAAGTCTGAAAGTATCTTATCGACCAAAAGTTTTCCGTTATTGAAAAATAAGCGTGTCTGTATCATTTCACATGCGAGCATCTTGAGTATCGTATCATATGGAATCTACATACATTGTATTTCAGAAGAGTACGCTATGGGGTATCATATTAACTGGGATATATACAATCTAGAAATACAACATCTGGTGTATTGCATCAGGTGAACAAATTTTCTTGGTGCCGTCATTAGCTGTTTCGATATCTGTCGATTATTGATTTACCAGTTGTTTGGATTTTTATCACTTTAAAGTTGTATTAATCTGAATATATTGAAGGCCGCACGGTGATATATATTTGCTTACATCTGCGTCATTTGGTCTTTGGGGGATAGTTGTCTCATTGGCGATCATAGCACATAAATAATTTCAATTGCGATACATTTGAACTTGTCTCTTTTGGTGCTTCTTGCAATTGAATTCGCCTTTTTCTACCTTTTTTTTTCCTCTACACTATATTTTCAATGGATCAACTTTCTTTTTAAATCCATTTTTCTCAATATTGACGGAAGAAACGATCTAATGTAAAAGAAGAGAACCATTATAATAAAACATAATGTAAATTTATACGAAACAATAATTTTGAACCACAACCCGTATCCAACAACATTAAATCATTGGTCTATGTAAATTAATAACAGAAGAAAAGTCGGTTTCACTATAAAAGTTGTCATGATCAGTACTGTTCATCAGAGATTCAAACCTCTCAGAAACTAAATCCAGGCATAAAATCCCATTTAGATGTGGATTAATGGCTATATTGTTTAATAAACTGTTGTCATGAGTTTTATGATCAGTACTGTTCATCAGAGATTCAAACCTCTCAGAAACTATTCTTTTAAAATCCATTTTTATCAATATTGACGGAAGAAACGATCTAATGTTAAAGAAGAGAACCATTATAATAAAACATAATGTAAATTTATACGAAACAATAATTTTGAACCACAACCCGTATCCAATAACATTAAATCATTGGTCTATGTAAATTAATAACAGAAGAAAAGTCGGTTTCACTATAAAAGTTGCCATGATCAGTACTGTTCATCAGAGATTCAAACCTCTCAGAAACTAAATCCAGGCATAAAATCCCATTAAGATGTGGACTAATGGCTGTATTATTTAATAAACTGTTGTCATGAGTTTTATTATAGGGGATATCCAAGATGGATGGAGATTCGCTTTCCTCATCCCTAGATATATGTTTCAATCTAGTATGAGGATTCAATTGTTCGAGATAAGGTCTATGTGGTAGCTGTTCTCGTTGCACTGTTATGTCACTGTCACCGATTAAAAGCTTGTGAGTTGTTGAAGTATCCAAAGAGTACAGTTCTTGTGTGTTTCTTTTATCACCGCACACACGTTTGGTAACAGTGTTGTTGTGTGGATGTTCGTCAGTATTTTCGGCATGTTCTACAGCTGCTCGTGCTAGATTTTGACTATTAACTTCATCATTATCATCTTCTCTGCAGTGTTTACCTTGTTTGATTTTTAGTGCTTCCGCGTACTCATTAATGAATTTAGCTTCTCCAAAGTTGCCCTTTCTTGCTATTTCAGTCGCCATATTTATATATTCTAAAGCGAGGTCGATCTCTTCCGGAGGATTTCCTAGTTCTTCGATTCTTGCTTGGGCGACATAGTAAAACATTTGTCGCCTTGTCTCAATCCCATTCCATATTTTGTCTACCTCTGCCAACAAATCACTAGCCCTTTGAACGTGTTTTGGTAGTACAATACAGCCAGGAATTATATCACCTTTATTGCTGATTCCCAATAAACAATAAACCATTCGGAGATAAAACATGCGCATCCAAAACAATCTTATAACACATTCTTCTTCTTCATGAAGGCAGTGTAAACTGTATTCGGCTATTTTCATTATCTTTTCTAGTGTTTGTGATATTGGATTTTTCTCATACACACATATTAAATTAAATACAAAGATGTATAGCATGTTTACTAGTTCTACACAGTGCCCAATGTATACAGACGATGCCATTGCTTGTCGAAGGAAATTGTCGCCTTTGTCGTCTTGATCTGCAATCGCATGTGCAATAGCTAGCCTTGAATCATAGGCAACTTGAGTCACGTGTGTGTTAGAGGTATGCGATATCAACTGTTGCAGCTCTTCAAAAAGTCCATGAGATGGTAGTTTTTGAACGTACAACATCGTATGCGCATCGATTTCGGCGCAAAGAGATGCCGCGTATTTGTCTGCTTTTGCCATCTTTTCAAGATAATCATTTTCTTTAAAATAGCTGGTCCTGTAAATCTCTGATTTCTCATGAAGATGTTTTCTAGGATTTCCAATACTTATGTTATGCGTTTTTATTTTAAGCTCTATGAACAATTCTTGGGAAAATCTTCGGCTCGAACTTAAACTACCGGTTCGTTGAACTGCAAAAAGCTGTCCTACATGGTTCGAATAGCATTTGAACTGGATAGCAATTTGAAGAAAAATTTCAATGTAACTGCATTCGAGTAAAACTTTCAAAAACTGTTCAAGAGAACAATGCTTCTCGAGGGGAATGTGTAAATAGCAAAACCAGAAACTAAGAAACCAGAAATCAGAAACAAGAAACAAGAAACAAGAAACAAGAAATTAAAAATTATCTAATATTGAATATGTTTCTAATAACTAATTATAATTGACCTGATATAAATACACATGTATAACTGATAAGGACTCTGATCTTTATGCACCTGCTGTAGCTGAAAACCTTATCAATTGTAATAAAACTTAATTATATACAAAAAAGTGTCAGTTCAGTGTTGGATTTTTAATTGTGTTAAAAGGTTGACATTGTTTATAGATGTTTTAATCATGTGTTTACTTTATAGTAAAGGGTTGCTGATGTAAAACAATTATAAAGTGTCAGTTCAGTGTTAGACCACAAACATAACTTGGTACAGATTTTTATTTGTGTTGAAAGGTTGACATTTTTTATAGATCTTTTAATAGTGTGTTTACTATAGTAAAGGGTTGCTGATGTAAAACAATTATAAAGTTTAA